GCAGAAACACAGAATCACAGAATATTAGGGGGTGGAAGGGACCTTCAAAGATCATCAAGTTCAAGCCTCCTGCCAGAGCAGGGCCAAAAAAACCCAACCAAACCAACTAGGGCAGATGACTCAGAAAGGCATCTAGACAGGTCCTGAAAGTCTCCAGAGAAGGAGATTCCACAGCCTCCCTAGGGAGCTTGTTCCAGTGCTCTGTCACCCTCACAGTGAAGAAGTTCTTCCTCATGATGAGGTGGAACTTCCTGTGTTTGAGTTTGAATCCATCGCATCTCATCCTATCACAGGGCACAAGTGAAAAGAGCTTGTCCCTGCCTTCTTGATGCCCAGCCCTCATGTATTTATAGACATTAATTAGATCCCCCTTCAGTCTTCTCCTCTCTAGACTGAAAAGCCCCAGGCCTCTCAGCCTTTCCTCAAAAGGCAGGTGTTCCAGTCCCTTAATCATCCTCGTAGCCTCTGTTGGACTCAATGAGATCCCTGTCCCTCTTGAACTGAGGAGCCCAGAACTGGACACAATACTCCAAGTGAGGTCTCACTAGGGCCGAGCAGAGGGGGAGGAGAATCTCCCTCTATCTGCTGGAGACACTCCTCAATGCACCCCAAGATACCATTGGGTGCATTGCCCTTGTTGAATCTCATCACGTTCCTCTTTGCCCAGCTCACCAGACTGTCCAAACCTGACTGAATGGCTGCACAGCCTTCAGGTGAATCAGCCAATCCTTCCAGCTTGGTGTCATCAGCAAACTTGATGAGAAGCCACTCTGTCCCATCATCAAGTTTATTGATAAAGGTGTTGAACAGAACTGGACCCAGCACTGATCCCTGGGGGACTCCACTAGTTACAGGTCTCCAGCTGGACTCTGCACCACTGTTCACCACTCTTTGGGCTCTATTGTGTAGCCAATTCTTAATCCATCTCACTCTCCATTCTTTTATCCCACATATTCTGAGCTTGTTCACAAGGATGTTCTGGGAGACTCTGTCAAAAGCCTTGCTGAGGTCAAGGTAGACACATCCACTGGTCTCCCTGCATCTATCCATTCAGTCACAGCATCATAGAAGGTTTTCAGATTAGTAAAGCATTATTTCTCCTTGGTAAATCCATATTGCAAATTATTAAGAGGGTCATTGGCATGCACTGAGTATTTGGTCTGTCTGGCAAATGATGACATCAGTCTTGGTGCAAAAGGCATCATGCATTATTCTATATGCAATCAACTGCTAAATGTAAACAGTGGTGGGACAATTTATTTATTTTTTTTTCCAAGAAGGGTCATAGCCAAGGGCCTGAATCATCAAACCTTTACTTACATCAACACTCTGCTCAAATAGGTCATCTCATTAGGCCAATTGCCTTGGCAAAAAAGGCCCATGTAATACAGGGTTTGAGGAATTAACATCTGAAGGAATAACTTCTCTAATTAACAGAGTAAAAAAAAATAATAATCCATGTATGACAGCCCATTTAGGAGGTTTGCAAATATGCATGCTGTCTGCTGCTTAGCAATGTGGATCTAGAGAACACTGGGAGTTATCAAGGTTGTAATTAGTTGTAAAATTGTTGTAAAAGACAAAAACTATCCCGCTAATATATCCTCTATTGCACAGCAGTCAATCTTACTTGAGCAAGAAACCTAACCTCTATAAATATCATACTGCATATATACTACGAGGAAATTCAATATAACTAATAACTTACTCTTAAGAGAGAGCACTCTTTAAGATACCCTATCCTTAATTTTCACGGTAAATAAGGGGGTTTTCATGCCTGCACTAGCTATTGGAAATATTTTTTCTATTTTTATGTTCAAATCTAATTGTAGCAGATAATCAGAGCAAAGGAATAACTCACAGCTGTTGGTCCATAACAGTATAGATTTTTCCCCTATTTCTGAAACTCTCTGTGTTCTGATCATGGGTATACTTTGGTTGGCTGGCAGCCAGTATCAAGTAGAATACCAAGGTATATGTAAGTACAGTGCAGCTACAGCCCCTCTTCTCCACATGGCTTCTCTTCTGTCTCTCTCATTAAAAAATTGTAAAATTAGTTGCCAGCAAGAGCAAGAACTACCTCTGCTTTTCATTTCTTTTAGCTGAAGAAAAAATATTCCAGAATTGTACATGAACACAGACAGAACAGGGGCAGAGCCAGTATGGAAAGAGCTAAACATTTGCTGAAGATCTCTGCCCTTCTCCTCTCCTTGGACCCATCTTTTACTCCCTACAGTTTAGGAAAAACCTTACACTTGGAATGGTTATCAGACTAATACACAAGACACATTTTCACTATTTGTTAATCCTAGAAGCAAGGAATGATGTGAGTAGCATTTTTAAAGTAATAAGTAAAACATATATGAGTCATTCTGGGCAGTTCAGCCCACTAACCTAGGGGAAAGTGGATGAGTGAGAGGGGCAGGAGAGACAGGAAGAGGCAGCTTGGGATAAAAGAAAGGCAAATGTTCAGGTGGTGAAAGCAGCAAATAAGAATAATACACAAAGGACTTTAAATTTGTCTAAGACAATTTAACTTTCAGCAGCTCTGTGTTACCTCTTCTGTAAGTAAAACCTGAACACATAGTCAAATACTCTAGTGCAATATCTAAGCAGTCCCATCTATTAGCTTTTGCAATCACCACATCACAAGTTAGTAAATTTGTTGGCTTTGAAGTTTATTCAATCCAGTGTTTGGTTATTCCTGCTCTGAAGAGGGCTACTGCTTTATCTCACACCCCTGGTTGCTTCTGAGTGGGATCAGAGGTGTCCTTCAGGGCCACAGGGCATGATGAGTGGCCTCCATGCCCCTCACCCTGTTTTGCAGCCCCCCAGCCAGCTGCTGACTTCTGTTGTGTTTCACAGAACAGTCAGAGGAAACAGGGAATGCCTTGAAGGTTGCTTTTCTGGTTTAGCTTGTGCTGGTTGTTTTCTCCCCTACAGCAGTGAGCAGAGAGCAGAGCATGCATTAGTGCAGCCCATGTGGGAGAAAGGTATGGAGGAGGATGGGGTGCAGATATCATATCAGTGAATGCAGCACCCCTCTAAAGCATCAGACTGTGAAATTCTGGGGAGGGGAAGGAATAAGAGGAACCTCAGTTCCTTTGGTTTTAGAGGAAGCCATAAGTTACATTTTCTTTGCAAAGGGTTGGGACTATCCCAACTAGGTCGAGCGTAGTTAATCCCCTGCAGCCTAAGTCTTTCTGCAGAACAAGGAGGGAGTTAACAGTGACTGGCCAAATTTCACGAGCTGTGCTGCGTTTATCAGAGACAAAAGCAGTACAGAAGAAATCTATCTTGAAACAACAAAGTGCTTAAATGCATGGCTTACCTGCTCCTGCCCACCTCTGAGAAGAGCTCTTGCCTGTCAGGGTCAACAGACCTAACAGATCTTTGCTCTGGGATGAAGACTTTCCCAGCTCATGTCAAGCTCACCTTGTAGAGGTTTTCCTCCAGGCTTTTTAAGGTGGCTTCAGGCCACCAGGGGAGACTGACACTGCCTGTTTTGCCTCAAAGTCCTGTTACTCATGTAAGGACTTCACAGTAATTCTCCTCCCAGATTCCAGGGTTAGTCTACAGCACACAACGTGGGACTGAAGGAACCTCCTGGGCCATGAGGTCTTGTCCTACGTTACCATTCACAACCACATCACTTTACTCCTTTTGGTCATGCAAAAAGATCCATCCTGAAGGTAATAATTATTTTTTGCCCGATTATCTCTACTGGAAGTATCTTTCAAATCACAAATTCTGTTACGTTTATAAATTGTCTGATTTTTAGCTTGGATGCATTAACAGGCAGCTCACACCCATTTGTTCTTGAAGAAAACACCCGTGATACACTTAAGACTTGGGAAGGCAAGTTTTGACAAGTACTCCCTGTGCCTGGGGTACCTGTTACCAGTCAGTACCAGCGTCCCTGTGGTTCTGTAGCGCTCCCTGAGGGACATGGGTGCCAGGACAGACGGGCGCTCCGTCGGCCGTGGGGGTTTTGGGTGCCAGCTGGGAACTGGAGCCCGGGACAAGGTGGGTTCGGACTGGGGTGGGTGCGCTCGGCAGCCACGAGGTGCGTCTGCGGGTGCCTGGACGCGGGTGCCCCTGCCACGGGCTGTCCC